GAATAGTTAAATCAACTTCATGAATTTTCTCAGGCAGCCATAATATCTCAGGGTGGTTCAGAGTGTTACCCTGTTTACAGCATCAAATGCCTTTGTTAGGTCAATTAAGATAAAGAGGTTATTCTGCCCAATGTATTATTCCTGGACTTGTGTCATGATAAGTCTCACAATAATACTGAATAATTAAATACCATATAATAATAATAATAATAATAATAATAATAATAATAATAATAATAATAATAATAATAATAATAATAATAATAAAGTTGGAAGGGACCTTGGAGGTCATCTAGTCCAACCCCCTGCTCAGGCAGGAACCCTACACCATTTCAGACAAATGGCTGTCCAGTCTCTTCTTAAAAACTTCCAGTGTTGGAGCATTCACCGCTTCTGGAGGCAGGTTGTTCCACTGATTAATTGTTCTAACTGTCAAGAAATTTCTCCTTAGTTCTAAGTTGCTTCTCTCCTTGATCAGTTTCCATCCGTTGCTTCTTGTCCTGCCTTCAGGCGCCTTGGAAAATAGCTTGACTCCCTCTTCTTTGTGGCAGCCCCTGAGATATTGGAACACTGCTATCATGTCACCCCTCATCCTTCTCTTTATTAGACTAGACATACCCAATTCCAGCAACCGTTCCTTATATGTTTTAGCCTCCAGTCCCCTAATCATCTTTGTTGCTCTTCTCTGTACTCTTTCTAGAGGACTTAAAAGTTTTGATCTCTCAGCTAACCAATTTCCAATAGTACAATTGGACTTTCTGCTCATCTTCTATTTGCAGCAGTCCCCATGTAAAATCCTGATGTGCAATCAGGGGAGATTTTGAGGATACATTCAGAAACTGTATGCATGGCTGCGTGGCATACCTGTCCTCACTTTCATCAGCAGAAACTGCCATCTCTAACAAAAGTATAGTATTATATTTAACTACAGTTTCAAGTTTTTATAAGCTACTTCTATATGGCATTATCTTTAAAAATCAGTGCTACACAATATTCTTGGCTGGAAGACCATTTTAGTTTTTGAACGGCATAACCTATAATTGTATTCCAAAAGATAAGCCAGATAAGAAAATCTGGTTGAAACAAAGACATTGAACTGAAATTATTCAAATAATAATACTTTTAATGTGAAAGATTCACTTAATACTTCAACAGATTTTCACATTTAAAATAAAGCCATTTATAAGATAATCTTCCAGAAATACATGTGGTCTTCTTCCTGGTATCCTCAGCTGTGATGCAAAGAGACTCGTACCTGTTTCCTGCACAACTCGGCTACAAAAGAAAACCATGCGAATGATGGGACGTAGAGTCTACTAGCTGACTTGCACCACTCATGATTCCTTAACCTACAAAAGCAGCAATTCTGTATGATTTTAGTGAAACAGGACTGCAAAGAGAAAAGTTCTCAGGAGGAAAGGGAGGGGGCAGGAGTTATGGTGGTATTTATTTATTCAAATTTGTTATAGCCCACTTCAAATGGATTATGGTTGATATACAAAACTGAGTAGGTTGTAAGTGCCCACTCAGAAGCTGTCCACGCTAGTGAAGAAACTTGGACTTCAGAACAGAACCCCTCATCACTCACCCACTTTCATTTCATAGGAGTAATATGCAATCAGCAGAAACCTGAAATTATACATAGACAGTGAATGAAACAGTGAGATGCGTAAAGCATTTTTCTCTTTTTGCTTTATGAGGCAAGAATGATTCATTATTTCACCAAATATTGTAGGTGAATTGAGAAAAATAATAGAGGGGCAAAAGGGAACAGACTAGGGTAACAAGCCACTAATAAAAAGGCCAGGATCAGATTGGGATGGGTTTATTGCTACTCAAACCTGCCCCACACAATTGCACTTCTCCTACTGCATCTGGCATCCTATCTTGCATATCACATAATCCCCAAAAAGCTGATACAACCGTCTCAATTATTGATGATGCAACTGGATAACATGTTGCCAAACTGCTAAAATTCAAGAGGGTCTCAGGATTGCATCAGTTTTAATATAAATAAAACATTTTAGACTACTCTATAAAATGCATCTTGAAGCTTATTTTTAAAAATATATTATTTTAAAATAATATCCAAATAATTTTAAATCTTTGATAGAGTCTTATCTCTTCTTCCAGTTTTCAAAAGAACGAAAAGGATATTGTATTTGCAAAATTGAAAGTTTGATATTCTCATTATGAAGTACTTTATGAAAAAAAGTTAGTTCCATCATCCCCTCAATATAAAACTTGCTGAATGTTATGGTAAGAGGCAAATGTAAGAATACAAGTAGAACAAATGTACTGGTATTTCAAAATAGAAAATTGTAGTGCCTGTACAAAAAAACCTTGGTTCTCTTTTTACTTTAATTCATAGTTATGGCAGCAATTCTAATAATGCATACCAAGTAATTTCATTAATAAAATGAAAATTCAAACTAAATCTCAAATCCTAAGAGATAACCCATATTATTTTTCAACTAATGTAAGTTGTATGATAACATTAATCTACCTTGAAATATAATTTCATTTAAAATCCAAACTTTTTACATCATGATCAAGCACAAACTAGATCCAACAGTAGCTTCACCAAGTTATTAAAAGTACATCAGGGCATAGATTCTAGGATGGGTGCATATCCAACTGCTACTATCTTTTATGTTCCCCAAACTACCCCTCACCCAATTACTCTGTGATCAACTGGCGTAAGTGATACAGGTAGTCTTCGACATACAACCACAATTGCACCCAAAATTTCTGTTGTTAAGTGAGACATTTGTTAAGTGAGTTTTGCCCCATTTTACTTTTCTTGCCACAGTTGTTAAATGAATCACTGCAGTTGATAAGTTAGTGACATGGTTGTTAAGTGATTCACTTTTCTCCATTGACTTTGTCAGAAAGTCGCAAAAGATGATCACATGACCTTGGGTCACAGCAACGGTCATAAGTATGAACCAGTTGCCAAGCATCTGAATTTTGATCACATAATCATGGGGTTTCTACAAAGGTCATAAATATGAAAAATGGTCATAAGTCACTTTTTTCAGTGCCGTTATAACTTTGAACAGTCACTAAATGAACTGTCATAAGTCAAGGACTACCTGTATTCCACAGAAATTACCAATTTGTGTACTTGATTCCTGCTTCAAAGGACATCTTCCTTTAAAAAAATAAAACCCTCCAACTGTGATTAACAAAGCACAAATATAGCAAACATCAGGCACATTATTTAGCACATACAACCCTATGTCAAATAACCAATTTGTTTAGTACTACTATATTCATTTATCAAATGTATACACTACCCATCTCACTGTTTAAATGACTTAGCGATTTACAAGTAAAAACACCATAAAAATCGTTACAAAAATATACAAAGCTAAAAAAAAGAGCCTATCCTCAAACCATCATCCATTATACTGCTTACCATAGAGCAAGCATAAATATATATATATGGCCTATTTGTGACTAAATTTTTGCCACAAGTCAGGTGTTAATTTATTTGACCCTTGAACACTTGACATGTAAATCAACACTTAGAAATCAATCCAAATTCCATATAGAACTGTGGAAAGTGAAATATAAGAAACTTGTAAATAGCTATTCTAATTTCTATATTTGGATCAGATAATCTGTTAGCTATCCTCACCATCCATTAACCTCTCAATTTCTCCCCCCCCACCACATTGGATCTGCCTTTTTCAAGTACTGACCCTGAAACCATTTAATCCAACCTGAGAATTCTATACCATGCTTTCTAAAAAGCCATACGTGAATATAACTATTATAAAACTGATGTTACAAAAATGTGTAGCATATACTTCAGTTAGCAATTAAATGAGTGAATACAGAAAATATTGCACCGTGAATCTTGATACAGATTCACTATGCCTTTCCCGAATTTCACAAAGCTATTATTGAATCAAGTATCTCAATTCCATCACAGTAATTAATTTAGGTTTAAAAATACAGTGTGCTTAGCCTGCAAATTTGCAACCAATTGTAGCTTTACAGGCAATTAATTTATTTATTGAATCTATATAGCTGCCCATCTTTCAAAAAGTGACTCTGGGCAGCATACAACAATTAAGTAAAAATATATAGAAGTGATCATTAGTAAACATACACAACAAACATTATTAAAAATAAAAAGGCACAGGAGAGAGTGGATACTAACTCTAATGGTGTAGCCATCTTAGAATTTCATCAGTGCCCTGGGACCCTCCAGCTTGATAACATAGCCAGGTCTTGAGGGACTTCTGAAATATTAGCAGGGATGGAGCAAACCTCACTTGTGTGTGTGGGGGGGGAAAACATTCCATAAGGTGGGCACCATAGCAGAGAAGGCTTGCCTCCTGGGACCTGCCAAGAATAGGGTGGGCAGATATACTTAGGAAAGGCAACCCCTCAAATAACCCAGTCCCTTATCATGAACGGCTAAAGGTTGCCAGTTTTTCCAGTTTAATTGAAGATCCTGCTAATTCTAGGGTTTTTCCACTCCAGAAAAAGTTGCACTTTCCTGAAAAAATAGTCTTTACTTTTTTAATGTGGTATCCTCAGGGCTTTTTTTCTCATAGAACGCCCAGAACGGAGTTCCGGCACCTTTTTTGGATGGAACCTTGTAGGGTAGGCAAGGCGGGTTGTATGACGTGTGTGAGTTCCGGCACTTTTTTTTTTTTTTTTTTTTTTTAGAAAAAAAGCACTGGGTATCCTATAGGCATACGTCCACCCAATAGAGAAACTTAGGCAAGAGCTAGGTCACTCCCCCCAGCAAAGTCAGAGTACTTGGTGATATTACTGGAAGAACAATAACTTCATCAAAAACCTTAATTCTTTTTTAATGCCCTGTTTTAAATGGGAATAGTTTTGAAACAAAATCAAAGCTCAAAAATCATATTCCATTCCTGATTTAAATATTTCTGTGCAGCTTGTGTGTGTGTGTGTGTGTGTGTGTGTGTGTGTGTGTGTGNAAAAAAAAAAAAAAAAACTACTGTCGACTCTAGTACCTGCAGCTCACACCAAGCAACCTCCACTGTGGTCTCAGTGTCAAGTCCCTTGTAGACAGTCTTGAAGGAGCCTCGGCCAATCTCAATGTCAAACTTCAAAAAACGACCATCCGGGGAGAAAGCCACCGCTTTGGTCTCCAGCTCTTCGATATCTTCTTGCTGCTTACTCCGCTCTTCCTGCAGATCCCGGGCCGAAGCGGCCACGCTTCCTGCCGTACTGGTAGGGGGCAGTGGAGTGGCTTCTATCCCTTCCTCCTTGGCTAACAAGGGGGCAACCTCCTTCGCCACCAAGAGCTCTGGACCAGACGGCGCTTCTGCGGCTGGAGGCAGAGATGCGGGCTGCTGGAGAAGCAACGCGGGCGCCTGGCTGGAGGCGACAGAAGCGCCGGCTGCCTGGATGACAGACTCGGGAGGAGAGCCCAACACGGGCGGGATGCTCCCTCGAGCAGCAGCAGCCGCAGCCGCCGGGGGAGGCGCCGCCGGCTGCAGCCGCGGAAGGTCCAAAGCGGTCGCATTCGAATCGCAAATGACGCTCCGGCGGAAAAAGCGGTGCTCCGTGGCCGCCGCACCGCGGCTGTCCTTGTCCATGGTGTGCCGGCGACGGCGGTACTCCTCGCTACGGCAACTAGCACCTTCCGACCCCTCCGGGTCGCCCGGGCCGGACGGCGTCACCACAGCGGGCACCCCCAGCTTCTCGCCCACGGAGCTGTCGGAACTCGAGCCGTTCTTGGGCGGGGGAGGCGGCGGGGCGAGGAAGCGAGGAGTTGCCGCCGCCGCCGCCCCGCTCTCCGGAGCGCCAGCTGACATGATGTCGAAGGGGAGGCGCAGGAGGGCGCTTGCAGCAGTTGCCGCTGCAGCAGCTGACGCGAGGGCAGTCAAGGCGAGGCGGCGAGCGCGCCCGAGAGCTGCTCGGAAGGCGGCAGAAGCGGCGGCGGCTCTTGCTGCTGCTGCTGCTGCTGCAAAGGCGGCTCCCGGAATCTCCGGGCGGCGTGGAGCAAAGAAGACGGCGAGGCGAGTAGCGGAGCGGGCTGGGCCGGCGGAGGCGGGGTGGCTCCCCAGTCAGTGTCCGCATCCATCCTGCTGCAGCGGGGAGCCGAACAGCAGGGCCGACATGGAGCAGCAGCGAAGGTGGGGTGGGGGAGACGGAGGTGGAGGAGGAGGAAAGAGGCCGGGAAGGAGCCTTCGGCAGGCCCCGGACCAGCGGGGTGGGGTGCGCGGTAAGGGCAGGCCCGTGGCAGTCGCGGCCGCGCGCGTTCCGTCTCGCCCAGCTCCTTGCCTCCGTTGAGGTCCGGCTCAGCCGCTCGCTTAGGCTCCTCCCCGGCCCGTCCTCGCCGCCGAACCTCTTCCCCTCTCTTCCGTTCGTTCCCTCACGCGATGCCGGGACGCCCGCCGCCGCCGCCGCCGCCCCTCCTCGTGGGCTTCGTTCGCAGCTCGAAGAAGGCCACCCTCCGCTCCGAGAGCGCCTGGCCTGAGGGAGTGGGAGGAAAGGCGGAGAAATCACCCAGAAGGGGCGCCTCGCCTGCTCTGCCCGCCTGCCTGCCGCCGGAGCTTCTTCACGTCCGTCCTTCCTTCCCTCCCACTCGTGAGGAGAGTGGGGGATGGGCCTCTCGCTGCCACCTCTCCCGAGTGAGGGGGAAACTGGCCGCGCTAAATGGCGACCGCCCCCGAAAGACGCGCGCACAGCGACACTCTTCTTCCCTCTCTCTCTCTCTCTCTCTCTCTCACTCTCCGCCAGAGCGCGAGAGACAGACTGCGAGGCCACGCCCCCCTTTTTCCGTCCGCACTCCACCACGCCTGCGTCAACGCTGCTGCTGCTCCTCCTTCGGGTCTGCCTGGGAGATGTAGTTCTCGTCTGTCTCTGACGCCTCGAACCGCGGCGCAGCTTACGCTTCCCATGATGCCTTGAGGAAGAAGGCGAAGGCTGATATGCAATGGGAAAGTGGTACTTACGGGGTGGTTTTTTTTTTTTTTTTAGGGATCACCTGATGCTTTCCCCCTCTTCTCCCTGCGTCGCACGGCGTGCAATGAAAGTGCGACGCCAGTAGAGGACTACTGGTGGCTTCGGGAATCATTATCAATCGGTTACTGCTAAAAAAAAAATTCAAAGAGTTTCCCATCATGCTTCGCTTCACTCTATTTCTTTTTTAATTAGAATGCAAACGTTAAAAATGGAAAATAATGTATTTTCGTGTATACACCTCTACGAGAAACGGTGGATTGGTTTAAAAATTCTGATTTTTGCAATTTATGTTCAACCGATTTTTATTACGGTCGCAGACCAGCATTACAAAGCATTAAAAACAAAAAAGACAAAAGACAAAATAATATGATTAGTGGTAGAGTATCTGTGGGCAGTGAGTTTGGATAGAAGTATAACAAAGTAGTAAAACTACTTTGTAATTTATGTTGATTTTAAAACCGTTAATTAGTAAAGCCTCAATTAACCATGCTTGTATATTTTTGAAATGTGAATATAAATTTATGTGCCATTTCAGTGTACATGGACTGTTTTGTTGCATACTAGTACTAACGCAAGAGATTTTTCTTTAGAGAGTAAAAGAAAGAAATCTATGTTAAAGTTAATGGCGCTTAGTAACCCTCCTGGGAGCAATTTAAGCTTGAGGTGGAATCTGTTAAAGCAAGCCAAGGTCAAATTAGATTGCTTAATCTTCTTCACATGTTAAATTGTGAATTAGCAGTGTTTTGTTTCCTTTGATGGGAAATCTTCAGGAAAGAACAGTAAGGGTCTCTGCTTTTACTGGAATAAATACTCTATTCCAACATTGTAGGAATAGAGCTTAGTCTATAGTAGCCCCACATCAGAAATAACCTAATAGCAGCTTATGCCTCTTAATCAAATTTGTCATTTTACAAAAGGTGCTACCAATTCCTTCCTATTCCCACAATATATTTGAATCAAAAGAGGATTAGTACATTGCAGAATGCCCACCAATAACTTGCGCCATCAGGGAATTAAATTTAGCCCCCCCCCCAAGACTTTTATTAACAAGTCTTGAGGGAAACATAAACTAAGAACATATTTCATTTTGCAAGAAAAATGGAAATTGACAAATGCAAGCCTGTTACAAAAAACCACAACTAAATCTTGGCAATATAACATGCGTACTAATAAAAAAAGAATATTTGTAGCTCAGGATTGACATGAGGGACCCTTGGTACTTTCAGCTTGCTGTTTTCTTGCAGATATTTCATTACCTGAACTAGGTAACATCAGTACTGGTAAGGAGTGCTGTTTGTACCAAGGACTCTTCACACAACACGCTTCCCATTAGAGTGATTGGCAACACTAATCAATCCTTGCCTGCTGCTGTCTGTATCAATGTAGAAAAGGACTGTGATTTAACGAAGCCTTGCCAGTACTATGCTGAGATTTGGTGAGCGTGCTACACTTCTACAACTGTTTACCTCAGTGTGTGACCAAAGTACTATTAGACTCACCAGTAAAACTGAACTGGATTATATACATGCTAAGAACAGGATCAGCCTTATAGAAATAGTCCTTGACTTATAACCATTCTTTCAGTATAATGGCACTGAAAAAAGTGATTTATGACCATTTTTCACACCAGAAGCGGTGAATTCGCCAACACTGGAAGTTTTTAAGAAGAAACTGGACAGCCATTTGTCCAAAATGGTATAGGGTTTCCTGCCTGAGCAGGAGGTTGGACTAGATGACCTCCAAGGTCCCTTCCAACTTTTTATTATTATTATTATTATTATTATTATTATTATTATTATTATTATTATTTACAACTGGTACTCCAGTTCCAATCAATGCAATTGAGACATGGTCCATTTCAAGTAAAATGCAAGGTCATTACTAATGATGATGCATTCTGATTGACATATAAAAATATCTGGTCAAGCACTATGCATGGTATCATGGAATATATCCCACTGTCTGCAGAAAGATTTATTTTGGACCTTTTGCTGTTGAACATAGACCTAAAGAGCTTGGCAGAACAGATAGAAAATATGATGATTAAAAATGATTAAAAATCAATCAAATATCATATTTGCTGATGACAAAAGTGAGGAGGTATCAGGCACAAGCAACCAGGTCCACATCTGTAGGGTTCAAAGTAGCTACTTTATTGTGTTCTGCATATAATACAGGAATATCCCCAGATTGCTTGCCTTCTCTTGGGAACAAACATGTAAGGTCCCATGGAATTTAGGGGAGGGGGTAGCCAGTGGTGGGATTCAGCTGGTTCGCACCACTTCGGCAGAACCAGTAGCTAATTTTTTGTTGCCCAGGCCCAGAATGGATTTCCGGAAGCAGCATCCACACAGAGAACTGGTTGTTCAATATTTGAATCCCACCACTGGGGGTAGCCCTAGGTCTCTTGTGGCTGCGCAATAACTCAAGGCTAATTCTCTACTTGATCCCTCCTCCTTGCCTGGCTGGCAGCTTCCCAACAGGTGAGACAGCAAACACCTTAAAGAACATTGGGCTGGAACAATAAGCAGAAACCAGCAATATTAAATTCAACAAGGACAAATACAAAATTCTTCATTTGGTGAGAAAAATAAAAGGAGTGAGGGGAGAACATATAAGGCAGTATCACACACAAAAAGGAACCAACAGTGCAGAAAGCTCAAAGACAATTACAATCCTAATCTGCATTAACAGATGTATAGTATCAAAATCAAAAATCAACATGGATCTCTTTTGAATTGGCCAGACCTCATCTAAAATATTGCTTACAGTTCTGAACAACATTGATAAACTGGAACAAGTTCTGGTAAAATAACAATGATAGAACTTATAAAAAGTTCTATAAGTTCTATCGAAAGAACTTATAAAAAGTGATTAAAGACCTTGGGTTTGTTTAGCCTTGAAAGGAGATAATTGTGGGGGAATCATTAGAATTATCTTGCGATATCTGATGGATTGTCACGTAGAGGTCAGAGAAGAATTGTTCACAGCTGTTCCACAGGCCAGGAAACATTGAGTTTAAATTACAATGAAGTACATTTTGACTGGGCATCAGGAAAAACCATTCCAGCCCTACAATCTGTTCAATAGTTGGAACAGACCAACACAGGAGAGAATCTCCTTCTCTAGAGATGCTTAAATAGAGGTGATATGACCATCGGCTGCAGTTGGGCCTGTTGTAGTAGCAGATTTCTGGATGGGGCAGGGGATTAAACTACATGAACTTCAAAGTCCCTTCCAATCAAACATACTTCAATTCAATCACCAGAAATTTACTTCATGATGAAACTGATTTCTGAGGAGTTTGGACATGCTAGTTTTGAGCCAAATCCAGATACTGTATGCCAATATTTGAACATCCAAAAGAGAGCAATTCAGCTTGTACTTGCTTATCCACTTCCCAGCCATGTAGGAATTCTTTTCATGTTGTTTTTAGAGGGAAGAGTGACTTGCACAAGCAAGCATGGGTCTTGAAAGTACGCGTGCTGATCCTGTGCACGTGTACTCTGAAAGTAAGTATTCATAGAAGCATTTGTTACAACATACATTGGAGGGATGTGCTGTGTCCCATTCCAAGGAATTTTTCAGTGAATGTGATCCATATAGACATGTACAAAAGAGAGAGATCTTTGCATCTCACTGCACTCCCAGTTTGGGGATAAAGTAATTTGGACTAGCTTTATCAGTCCTAAACCTAGATTAATCTAGATTAATCAGTTAGCTTTATCAGTTAAATCTAGATTTGTAATACTGGCCAGATCTAAGAATAAACATTTAAATACTTGGCATATTTACAGGAGAACTGAGATCAATATTATAGTAGTAACTATAATTTTCTCAGGAAGCA